AGAGATAGATCTTCAAAATGGGATAGTAAAATTTTATGAAATATTTTTATTGATTTTTTTTATTTCCTTTAAATTATAATATATATATATATATATGTATAAGAAAAAATTGATATATAAAATTATTTATGAAACGATTTAGTAAAATTTTGGATTGAAAATGACAAGAAAGCTCAAAAAACTATCGAACTATTCTATAGTAATTAAAAACTATTCGATATTCACACAATATATTTAAATGTTATTCAAACTATTCGATAGTTTTTTAAATATTTGATAGTTTATACTAAAAATAAACTATTCGGTTGTACAAAAACAATTCGAATATTTATTCAATAGTTTTAAAAAACAATCCAATATTATTCGATAGTTTAAAATATTCGAAAATATCACAACAAAAAACAGTACATAATTTTTCTAATCTATGACTTACAGGGTTAAAAGTAAAATATTCTATAAGATGAAAAAACAAGGGAGTCTATTAATTTACAAAGAGAACTTTTTAATCATTAACTTTAATGATTAAACATAAACATTTTAGTTGACAACAAATAGTTAAAATGTATAATCTTAATATAAATGCCAACTTCTTTTATTGGGGTTTTTATGAACGTGCATAATTTAGTTTTTTAACAAATTCTTATGATTGTTTATAATCTATTTGAAACATTTTGGCCTTGGTTTATGAATAAAATTTTGTCAACATCGCAGATATATTAATTGACATTGTCCGAAAAACAAAACAATAATGTTTAGGACGTATAAATAAATAATAAATAACACGAATACCACTTTTAATATAATTTTTATTTTCCTATACAAATTTTTAATTAATATTAAATAAATAAAATTTATGTTAAGATAATATTGATAAATTGTTTGAAGAACTGATTTTCTTTGCTTGTATAATCTAAAATATTTAAGAAAAGCATCCAAGTTCCAAATTAATTTATTTTCGAGTAAAATAACTGTGACTAAACGAAAAACAAATAGCTGATCAATTTTTTTTTTAAGTTTAACTCAGAAAAGGTATTTTTTGTATGATAGACCATGTAATTTTATGCATTTCCCGAATAATCGTTTTTAATCACTTAAAACTATTTGTTGTCAACTAAAATGTTTTATGTAAGTAATTATACTTTGAGTTAAGTATAATAAAACTCTAAGCTATGAGATTGGTGAAAAATTCCACCATTATTCTTAATACACTTTCAAATATTTATTAATACAACAAAAAAAAATTTGTTAAATATTTTTAGTTACATATATTTCTTAACTTATCAAATACTTATTAAAATCATCCTTTATAATGTATAGGGGTGTCAATTTNTAACTTATCAAATACTTATTAAAATCATCCTTTATAATGTATAGGGGTGTCAATTTTTTTTTTTTTTAATATTAATGTACATATTTAACATACAAAATTGAAGATTATTTAATTAAGAAAATGACTAGTCGATAACAATATGTAAACTATTACTTTGGATATGCAGAGTGATTCTTTTAACACTAGCTACAAAATTTCTCTTAAAATAATACTTTGTGAATTTTTTGTTTGATTTTTGTTAGTTACATATTGATCAACATTTATTTATAAATAATATATTTGTATAAAATATTATTATTTTCCTCCCTTATACCTGAGATAAGAATGTTATCTTCAATTATTTAAATAGTAAAATACATTTTTTAGTAAAGAAATTTATCTAATTAAGATAATGACTGGTCGATAACAACTTTTGAACTAGTACTTTGGATATTATTCTCATTTTTATACCTAGACGGGAATAAGAGTACAGCGAGGAAATGTCTAATGATAAAAATAGCAAAACCCACGCTTCTTCTCCAGTCAATATTATAATATTGTAAAACTTCTGACACTCCAAAAGTTATTGTCGGCCAGTCGATTTCTTATTTACATCATTTTTTGTTTTATGAACTATTTAAATATATATGTAACCAGTAAAAAAAATAAAGTTGAGACCCCTCTAATACGTAAAGGATAAACATGAAAAATATTCTATACCAGATGAAATTACATATGGAATTAAAAAATTCACAGAAAATTATTTTAAGGGAACTCAAGTAGCTAGCATTAAAATAATTACATTATATGCAGATTGTCTTAAATTTGACTAACGCTTAGAACTTTTAATACAATTATTATTTTGTTTATATATATATTTATTTATTTAAATAATTATTGTCTTCTTAGACTACGTTTAAAGAAATTTTATTATTATTTATAATCATAAAATATATATATATATATATTTTCCTTAATTTGAAAATAATCATTATTGAGTTATCAAAGTTTTTGTAAAAAAAGGGATAAATTTGAAAAAAAAGAGTGACCACTACTCTTTTTGTTTGAGAATTTTGTAATAAATATCATAGTATGATTTATTTTTATTTTTTATAATTTCTAAGTAAACTACCGCATAAAATACGTATTTAAGTGATTAAACAAAATAAATAAAAAAAATGCAAACATTTTTATATGTGAATGAGATATAACGTATACGATATGAATACATTTGCGTATCTGCGGCATCTAATTAGTAAAAGTTTGTACAAATAAGCTTTACTTAATTCGTTATTTATGATTCTATTAAAAAAAAAAAGGATATTTATTTATTCATATATTATATTTTTTAATATATGATTTTACAATTTATAATAGACCACAAAATCTTCTAAAAATTTATTGTTTTTTTAAATATTATATGAATGTAAAACACGTATAAATTATTTGCAGGTATTTATGAAAATAAATATATAATCTTTTTTTTTGTATCATTGGCTAATAATTCGACCATTGGCTAATAATATTTTAAGGGAACTCAAGTAGCTAATATTAAAGTGACAACATCCATTCCTCATGTACAGCCTATACTTTAACTTCTGAGATACTAGCCCAAACGTTGTTATTGGTCAGTCATTTTCTTAGTTAAAATATTTCATTTTTTATAAGCTAGTTAAATATGTATGTTACTATGTAAAAAATAAAGTTGTAACCCCTTTAAGTTATAAGAAATGATTCTAAAAAGTAATTAAAAGCTGATAAATTAAGAATTATATGTAACTAAAAAAAATCAATAATTATTTTCAAATATTGTGTTTATTTTTTGGGTAATTGAGGTTTATGATCACTCTGTTTATGGCAGTCTCTTGAATCAGTGGTAAATCAGGTGGGAGGCTAATGTAATTGCAGCTCCCCGAAAATTCAAATAACAATCTAATTTTTTTTTTTACAAAATATATTTAAGTGATGATTTTTAGTAAAATAGTCATTAAAATAATCATTATTTTTAAGCAATAAAAAGTATTTTTTTAACCCCTGAAAAATTTTTTGGATACACCACTGACTCAAATTTAAATAGATCATATCTAAAGCTATATTTTAGCATTTTAGCCTTTGATTATTTGGAAGATACATAGAATAACAATGTAAGTCACTTTTTTGTTAATTAAAAAGACAATTTAAATTTTGAGATTAAATTCCCGTTATTAACCATTATTAATAATTACATTGACATATAAAGGTAAAGCCATCTTTTTAGGATATTATTATTATACTTTTAGGAAAAAATCAGATAAATCACCCAAAAACAGAGAAAAGAACCAGACATGCAAGATTCTTGAAATATAGAACATTTAAACTGGTTATCACTTAATCATAATAACTATAATTTGATTGATAGAATTACATTTTATAAAGAACACATTCTTTTCAAATTGACATCCAGCAAGAATAACATAATAGATTTTGGAATGTTTTACTTAAGTTTTTTTTAATTAAAATATAAATTTAAGTTTTAATTATTCCGTTACATAATGGTTATATTTCATAAAACTATCAATTAGGTTACTCTTAACTTNAGTTTTAATTATTCCGTTACATAATGGTTATATTTCATAAAACTATCAATTAGGTTACTCTTAACTTTATCAGAATTGGAAGCTTAAAAAATGTATACAGGTTATAACAAAAATTATTGCATGTAAAATTATAAAAAAAAAAAATTAGTAATATTTAATAAGACGCTAATGAAAACTAACTATACTGAAAAGTTTATTAGACTAATAAAAAACTTATTAGGAATAATATATCTTCTGTAACCTGAATTAACAAGTTTCATTATTAAAATTTCAAGTTGACAAGTTTTTTTTATTATCTATTTTATATCAAATTATAGAATGCCTGAATCAATTAATTTATGTATATTCTATTTATATTTTATTACTCTAAGAAATTTTAGAAGTAGCAAATTTTTTTTTTGTCCCTTGAAAATATACATATAATGCTAAGTTTAATTTACAAAATATTGATATTTTATGTGTAATGCATGATAGACAAATAAAATAGGGTATTTTTAGATCAATGATTATGTCAATCGATCATGATAATTATACTAATATTTTATTCTACAGAATAGAAAAAAAAACACGCAGTATGTTTATGAAATCATTTTATGCGTTATTTGTAATAAAAAAATTGACAAAAAATAACATTATTTGTATAATATTCATATTAAATTAAAAGTTTTTGTGTTGAAAACCAGCTGTTTTGAAAATATTCAATAGATGTCAGAATTTGCAGATTCAGCTTCTTTTAATGGCTTGTAACAATTCTAATTATACAGCAAAAAAAGTATAGCTTTTTAACAGTAATTAAATTTAAGAAGACTTTAGATGCTGTTACAATTTTATAATGTACCAATAAGAAAATTATTTTATTATACACTACATACAATATTAAAAAACTGGCACAGCAGTTATGTAAAATCGTTTGATTATACATTGTACTGTAATCTATAAAGATCTACAATAATAAAAAAATTTATATACTTAAAACATGTTAAAAAATAAACGAATTTGAGGACGTGGCTAGGGACGAGTTTAAGGAGAAAAACAAAAACCCGTTTTGGCGATATCAAAATTATGTATAAAAAAACTAATAAACTGTTTTTAATAAACTTATTTTAAAGCTTTACCTGTTGGCAACATCTTAAGTAATCCTCGACAGCTTTCAAACAGGAATCGGTAAGCTTGACAAAAAACAATGTTTTGTTTTTAGTCGTCCTCTGTTTGGTCATCAAGCCATTGTTCTGGTTCGAAGACAAACTATATTGCACACCGGCGGTCAAAGCAGCCATCGTCGTACGAACGCGATTTGACGTAGCACTACGTTTAGACGGCGTTGTTTTTCTTTTTTTTAAATCCTATTTTACGACAAACGAATCATGTTTAAGCACTGTTCATGGACATGTACGTAAAGTAGGAAAGAGATTATGAGCGACTATTTCATTATGTGCCAATGGTGCAAGACACCAGGTGCGCACGGCAACCCTCAGTGATACGCACCTGGCATTTTGTTCGTTACTGACGTCACTAGATACAATTCTGAAGGTAACTTTTCCGTGACTACAATTACGTTATGCACTTACACCAAAAGACCAATGTCAATATTTCAATATTTATTTTAAAACAATAATTTTCAAATGGGCATGGGTTTATTTCCACTACAACATCTGCACTGATAAGTAAAAAATAAATAATAATTTGTTTATAAATTACATTAAATTATTTCTATTTAATCATTAATTTATTAAACAGATCAAAATCTTTGATTTTATTTACCTAATTAACTTATTTAATACAGATATTTTTTAAAACTCCTAAATATTATTTGTTCGAAATTTAATGATCAATTTCGATAAATGTGAGGAAATTTTTCTACATTTGGTACCATATTACGTATTTAATCAAGAAGTCATTTACATTAAAAATGTGTAGCATAAAAAATGTTAATTTATATTTACAGTAAAGTTGGTTAATTATAACTAAATAAAACGTTTGTACTGAATGAGTATATAACTATTTTAGGAAATTTGTATTACGTTCATCTAGTAATAAGATAAATAATAGAAGTTTTGTTTTAATAATAAATAAAAAAATAATATATTAAATTATATTAAAGAATAATAATTGATACATATTTGTATTTTATAATGTTGAAATTAAGCTTTGTTACTCAGTTATAGTCATCTTGTTGATTATCTTTACAGATAAATATTTGATCAGATATAATAATAAATATTTTGTGCTAGTATATTATTATTCATTAACATTATAATTATTCTGTGATAATATTACATACTTTAAAAAGTTGATAACATGTTATGAGTTATCACTAGTTAAAAAAAGTGCCAAACAACTCCCCACTTTAACTTTTAATAAAAACATTTGTTAGAAAGAAATCCTTGTGTTTTTTGTAATGTCGTACATCACGTCACCTTAATCTTAAAAAACGTATTATTGTATTCATCTGCGCATATACGTCAATAGTGTATGTGGGAAATATTTTATCAAGGAAAATGTAATTAGATTTGTTAAATATTTTATGTTTAGCAAATTACATAACCAAAACTAGAACAATTCTTTTTAGAGGATCTTAATTATAAATTTTTTAATATATATATAATCAAAAAGTAAGGAAAAGGATAGTATCTCAGAACAAACTAACAACACTTATAACATATAATACAGTTGTATTTTTATAAATTTTTTTTAAATTATTAGTTTTCCTAGACTTTGTTTAAAGCATTTAATAAAGCATTATAAAATTGTAACAGCATCTAAAGTCTTCTTAAATTTAATTACTGTTAAAAAGCTATACTTTTTTTGCTGTATAATTAGAATTGTTACAAGCCATTAAAAGAAGCTGAATCTGCAAATTCTGACATCTATTGAATATTTTCAAAACAGCTGGTTTTCAACACAAAAACTTTTAATTTAATATGAATATTATACAAATAATGTTATTTTTTGTCAATTTTTTTATTACAAATATCGCATAAAATGATTTCATAAACATACTGCGTGTTTTTTTTTCTATTCTGTAGAATAAAATATTAGTATAATTATCATGATCGATTGACATAATCATTGATCTAAAAATACCCTATTTTATTTGTCTATCATGCATTACACATAAAATATCAATATTTTGTAAATTAAACTTAGCATTATATGTATATTTTCAAGGGACAAAAAAAAAATTTGCTACTTCTAAAATTTCTTAGAGTAATAAAATATAAATAGAATATACATAAATTAATTGATTCAGGCATTCTATAATTTGATATAAAATAGATAATAAAAAAAACTTGTCAACTTGAAATTTTAATAATGAAACTTGTTAATTCAGGTTACAGAAGATATATTATTCCTAATAAGTTTTTTATTAAGTTAAGAGTAACCTAATTGATAGTTTTATGAAATATAACCATTATGTAACGGAATAATTAAAACTTAAATTTATATTTTAATTAAAAAAAACTTAAGTAAAACATTCCAAAATCTATTATGTTATTCTTGCTGGATGTCAATTTGAAAAGAATGTGTTCTTTATAAAATGTAATTCTATCAATCAAATTATAGTTATTATGATTAAGTGATAACCAGTTAAAATGTTCTATATTTCAAGAATCTTGCATGTCTGGTTCTTTTCTCTGTTTTTGGGTGATTTATCTGATTTTTTCCTAAAAGTATAATAATAATATCCTAAAAAGATGGCTTTACCTTTATATGTCAATGTAATTATTAATAATGGTTAATAACGGGAATTTAATCTCAAAATTTAAATCGTCTTTTTAATTAACAAAAAAGTGACTTACATTGTTATTCTATGTATCTTCCAAATAATCAAAGGCTAAAATGCTAAAATATAGCTTTAGATATGATCTATTTAAATTTGAGTCAGTGGTGTATCCAAAAAATTTTTCAGGGGTTAAAAAAATACTTTTTATTGCTTAAAAATAATGATTATTTTAATGACTATTTTACTAAAAATCATCACTTAAATATATTTTGTAAAAAAAAAAATTAGATTGTTATTTGAATTTTCGGGGAGCTGCAATTACATTAGCCTCCCACCTGATTTACCACTGATTCAAGAGACTGCCATAAACAGAGTGATCATAAACCTCAATTACCCAAAAAATAAACACAATATTTGAAAATAATTATTGATTTTTTTTAGTTACATATAATTCTTAATTTATCAGCTTTTAATTACTTTTTAGAATCATTTCTTATAACTTAAAGGGGTTACAACTTTATTTTTTACATAGTAACATACATATTTAACTAGCTTATAAAAAATGAAATATTTTAACTAAGAAAATGACTGACCAATAACAACGTTTGGGCTAGTATCTCAGAAGTTAAAGTATAGGCTGTACATGAGGAATGGATGTTGTCACTTTAATATTAGCTACTTGAGTTCCCTTAAAATATTATTAGCCAATGGTCGAATTATTAGCCAATGATACAAAAAAAAAGATTATATATTTATTTTCATAAATACCTGCAAATAATTTATACGTGTTTTACATTCATATAATATTTAAAAAAACAATAAATTTTTAGAAGATTTTGTGGTCTATTATAAATTGTAAAATCATATATTAAAAAATATAATATATAAATAAATAAATATCCTTTTTTTTTTTAATAGAATCATAAATAACGAATTAAGTAAAGCTTATTTGTACAAACTTTTACTAATTAGATGCCGCAGATACGCAAATGTATTCATATCGTATACGTTATATCTCATTCACATATAAAAATGTTTGCATTTTTTTTATTTATTTTGTTTAATCACTTAAATACGTATTTTATGCGGTAGTTTACTTAGAAATTATAAAAAATAAAAATAAATCATACTATGATATTTATTACAAAATTCTCAAACAAAAAGAGTAGTGGTCACTCTTTTTTTTCAAATTTATCCCTTTTTTTACAAAAACTTTGATAACTCAATAATGATTATTTTCAAATTAAGGAAAATATATATATATATATATTTTATGATTATAAATAATAATAAAATTTCTTTAAACGTAGTCTAAGAAGACAATAATTATTTAAATAAATAAATATATATATAAACAAAATAATAATTGTATTAAAAGTTCTAAGCGTTAGTCAAATTTAAGACAATCTGCATATAATGTAATTATTTTAATGCTAGCTACTTGAGTTCCCTTAAAATAATTTTCTGTGAATTTTTTAATTCCATATGTAATTTCATCTGGTATAGAATATTTTTCATGTTTATCCTTTACGTATTAGAGGGGTCTCAACTTTATTTTTTTTACTGGTTACATATATATTTAAATAGTTCATAAAACAAAAAATGATGTAAATAAGAAATCGACTGGCCGACAATAACTTTTGGAGTGTCAGAAGTTTTACAATATTATAATATTGACTGGAGAAGAAGCGTGGGTTTTGCTATTTTTATCATTAGACATTTCCTCGCTGTACTCTTATTCCCGTCTAGGTATAAAAATGAGAATAATATCCAAAGTACTAGTTCAAAAGTTGTTATCGACCAGTCATTATCTTAATTAGATAAATTTCTTTACTAAAAAATGTATTTTACTATTTAAATAATTGAAGATAACATTCTTATCTCAGGTATAAGGGAGGAAAATAATAATATTTTATACAAATATATTATTTATAAATAAATGTTGATCAATATGTAACTAACAAAAATCAAACAAAAAATTCACAAAGTATTATTTTAAGAGAAATTTTGTAGCTAGTGTTAAAAGAACCACATTGCATATTCTGGAAAATTTTAATTTAACACCCCCTCTAAAACTAATTGTTCTATCTTTGCTAAGTTTACTAGCGCAGTTTCTTTAATTATGGGCATCTATATAATTTATACTGCAATCAGGGTTAGATTTAAAAATATAGACTTCGGGCCCGTATTATAGTAGTAAAACAAATGTTACTAATTTATAGGGAAATTTAGTTTTCCCTCTAAATCTAAAATTTTAATGAATTGGTATCAAAATTTGAGCAGTTAATTTCGTAAACTTTAATATTAATATAAAGTTTCTAATTTAGAAACTATCGAAAAAAAATTCTAATTTGATTTAAGGATCTTTTTATGTGTATTATAAATTTAATATTTAAATAGATAACCACTTTATAATACTAGTATATAATCATTTTTTAACTGAGGTATTTTTTTCTAATACCAATTAATTTTTGTTGGTTTAATATTAATTTTGAGAAAGAAGGATGTCAGAAGCAGGGTTAAAAATATGATGTCTTACAACATGATATACAAAATGAAATAACTCATGTGTCATAACATCATATTATGTAAGTGTTAAGTTACGATTTTAAAAATTTGTCCGAGACGTCTACTCTACTATTACTTCATAAACATTGGGTTGGGTTGGTATAGGATTTTATTCCATTAGGTTTCATCCCGTAAATAAATAAAATGACGAAATAGTCATGAATAATGCTACGTCGCATATCTAAAAAATAATAATAATAAAAGTGAGGTATTTCCAAGGGCATACATTTTTCATGGAAAGGACAAATATTTGATTTTATTGTTCGTTCAACTGATCCAATTTTGATGATAGGGAAGATGGGGTTCTTATCCAGAAAACCGTGTTTTTTTAGAAACCTAGCCATAGGTGCGACAAGAAGGAGCTTAGCTCAATTACGAATTTGTTCCGCGAAAAATAAAAATAAAATGTTATTTTAATAGGCGCTTATAGACTCTGCAGAAAAAAATTATAAATGAAAGATTTCTTGGAAGTTATATGTATTATTTTGAAAAATAAGCGTCTATAAATTTGATTATTAAAAAACAAACAGTCATTAATCAATGGAAAATAATTCTCTTAATCCTATCATTTATAATATAACTTTATAGAGAAATTTTTTTTTTATTTTAATTTAAAAAAAAATAATTATAATACACGATTATGAATATTAATACAAATAAAAATCAAAGGGGCATTTGACCCCCTTTGTATATTTAAAATGAAATATCATGTTTCCAGATATCGTAAATAATAAAAAATAATAAGCTCAAACAAGTTGTCTAGTTTAATTGAAGGGTCCAATAAACGATTACCACCATAATTTTTTAATTATTTAAGAAATGCAAAAAACTAAATAATTTTTGAACTAATCTTTAAATATAAAGTTCTTCATTTACTTAACAATAACTTATTTCGGGTATAATTATGCCAATATAGTCACATTAAACTACAAAATTAATTATTCTTTATAAGGAAATATAAAATATGAATTTTGAAAAAATTGGACATTATTTTGTACCCTTCAATTGCATATTCAAATCTGATTCTCTTCTCTATAAGAGTTTATGAATGCGTCAGTATTAAATTTAAAAAAGAAAAATTAATCTTATCTATGAATTTTATTATTGGTATAAATAAATATATATTTTTTCATTTATAAAAAATAAATAACATTTTATTTACATTATCCAATAGTCATTCAATCAACTATGATTATTCTGAAAAGTGGTAATTAAATCACAAGGTTGACATTCTTAGCACTGAGCTTTGATTCGTCACTTACAGTAAATTCAAATCATATATTTTATTAAAATAATTTGTTTGAAGTTACAAAAAAAAAGCTTTTAAAATAACAGTTTTTAAATAATATTTTAGAGTAAATTTTCTAAATCAAGGTAATTAGTACTAAAAATTTAACATAATGAAATTTGATACTTTTAAAAAATATTCCTTAAATTTAACAGAATTAAATAAAATAAATTTATTTTAAATTAAATTTTAAGTATCTTCTAAATTTATCTATTAAGAGTAATTATTTGCAGAAAAAACCGAAATGAGAATTTTAATCGCTCTTTAGTCATCACCATCAATTTGGTTAGCTAATCTATAGTTTGCAATATCTGTTAAATTATTATTGCTCATACAAAACTTACATTTGAAAAATACTAGTAATAAAATTATATTAATTATTAATAAAATTGTGGAATAAGTATGCCATGTTCGATCATCTAACAATCTTTTTATCGATTTTGGATAACAAAAAGTTTGACCTAGAGTATGTATTAATTCAGCATCTTCCCAACATACTGTGCATTGGTAATCATTTGGTCCGTTACATTTATAGCATGAATAATGACAATCAGCGCAAAGACCGTAGTAGTTCTCTTGGTACGTTCTAGGAGGGCATTTATCATAACATTTTCCGTGATAAATTTTGTATTCTCGTAAACATTCTGGAAATCACAAAGAGTCGATAAGTAATTATACTCTAATACAAATACAGAATTGTGCATGTTTAAAACAAAGCTGTGATACACTCACCACAAGCACCCAATTGATATTAGAATGCAATTCATACATGGTTGAATTTACCACATTTTATTACATGGTGAATTACTTATTTTTTATCCATATAAAATTATTTTATTATAAACCAAACAGAAACGTAATTAAGGGTGAACAAGATAGCTAGTTCACAGAATAATAATATTGACAATTGAAGATATAACTTATTTTTGTTTGGAAAAGGCAATAAAAATTTTTCTTAGGTCTATCCACGCTCCCCCAGAATAAAATTCTTAATTGTGTCATCGAAAACGACGGATTATATAAAACGTCAAGAAACTTAAAAAATATTTGTTTTAGTATAAATTTTCACATGTTTTTATAGATAAATAAATATATATTTATTTGCCTAGTTATTACTATGTATAGTATAACTTTAAATTAGATTTCAGTTTTAGATTGCATTTAAATGTGAGAGATGCGATTGAATTCAATTATGACATAAAATTTTTCAGTTTCAAAATATTATTAAGTCCTAAACTTAACCTTAAAAGTAACTAATTAAGCCTTTCGCATCATGAATAGAGCAATTCCAACAAGCAATATTGAATTAAAATATGAATATGTAGTATGAAGCCTCAAAATGGTTCATTTAATCTTCCCAAAAACTATATTTATGTTCCTAACACTGAAACATAAGTTATCACGTATAGTATTAATAAATGTTTTTAAGAACACTGATATGTTTATTATACCATAACCATATTTTAGGTAATTTTCTATATATGTATACATTTTTTAATGTAATTTTAATTATAAAAAAATTTCCGACTAAAGTAATTAAATATTTTAAAAGGAAGAATGATAATAATTTTAATTTCCTAAATCACCTTAAGTGTAACAACTAAAAAAACGTTTATTAAATTGAAAATTTCGTAAACATTTTTTCAAATAGAATAATTGATGAAATAGATAAATAAAAGAAGAACTATTAATTAAAAGTGTTTATCTTTATTAAGTTTAACTGGAAATTTTTAAATCACACAATACAATGACTAAATTTTAGTTTATTGATTATTTATACAGAATAAAAGAATTTTATTCTGCTGATTGTTTTGGCATTATTTTAAAAATACATAATATAAACATAAACATTCCATTCATGAAACTACTACAGAGATATTTAACTTTACAGATAATATATTGTGTACCTAATAAAACAAGAATTTACTGAAAATAAAAAGAATAATTGCAACATGAAACTTTTTTTATAACTTTAAATTCTTTCATTTTTTTTTTTTTAATGCCGAAAATAGAATAGCTATATAATTTGTATTTATTAAGATAAAAATTCGATTATTCAAAATTAAAATAAAGAATAACGGTTCCCTTTTAAAATTTAACTATGAATTATTAATACTTTTGTACAGTTCATAATAATTATACATGATTACATGTTTGATATGAAACTATATATTAACAGCTATACATACAGATATATTAATATAAACATTTAAATCCTTTTTGCTAATTTAGAATGATTAATTCATTTTAATTGTAATAATAAAATAGTATAATATACAATCTATAATCCATAGCCTATATAATAAATATGATATATTATGTCATATACATATAAATATAACTTATTAGCCTCCGGGCTAAAAAAAAAGTTTAAAATAATAACTAAAAAATTGAATAATTTGTTTAGAGTTAAACAAATATCTTATGAAATACAGAAAATTTTATTATAGTTTAAATATTGAAATGTTTTTATGATAATGGTTTTGGGCAATAAAAACTATATCACCCAAAAATCAATAAAAAAATTAACTATATTGATTATAAATAAATAGATTTGGATGTAAACTTAAAAAAAAATAACAGTACATATATTAAGTCTTTTTTCAAAAAAATTTAACAGTTCTGGAAAATAAACAAAATTTTTCAATTAAATTTTCCAACTAAAGATTAAGTATTCCATAATTAGTAATAAATAGATTACAGAACATTTAGTACACATTATTTTATTAAATTATTAATGACTTGATATATCCTATGTATTAAGTCATTATAAAAATATTAGAATGAACATAGGAATATAATTTGAAATACACACAGATATATGACATCTCAAACAGCTGATATTAAAAATATTTACAGGCCGAGGTTGTAACTATACTGTATGATTATCACCTCAAAACGTCAGCAGAAAACTGAAGAAATGAATTATAATAAGTAAATATTATAAATAATACAAAAATCCATGAAACCTTTAATACATTCAGAACACGACTGATTTCAAACAGTATAACTTTTTTTTAAAACTTAATTGTTTATTCAAGTTTATATAGACATTCAAGTTTGATGATAAAATGTTATCCACAAACAACTAGCTTTAATAGAAATATTCTAGAAAATCTAAGCAGTGATAATTTTTATATAAAATAATTTATAGGTTTATATTAATATATCATTATTATTAGAACTGGATATTCTCAAAATATTAAACCAGAATAAGATAAAAATTTATTAAGATAATAATTATTAATAAGCTAAACATATTTTAATTTAAACTTATTTATTTAATATTTACACATTTTTCATTTACAAATATAATCAGAATTTGATTTTATAGTGGTCAATTAGCAAGTTATTATAATTTACTTAAAAACAACAGTTAGGCAAACAATATTGATAAAACTCATATAAGAAGACACTATATTAAAAATTTTCTTAGGCAAAATTATTACATTTATTGATAAAATTTATAATTTTTCAAACTCTAAAAAATCTATTACAATATATTTATAATGAAAGAAAACGATCATTTTTTGTTTAGAAATGTGCTTATTTGAATCAAATTCAAATTAGAACAACGTTTCAGTTTGAATACAAAGTTTAAACTATTTGAAACTCTAAAGTACAAGTTGAAATTTTTTAATTACAATTTTTTTTTTTACTAGCAAGTGTTAAAAATATAACAAACAGATTAAGTAGTTAAATAATTATGATATTTAATTCATTTGTTTATTGTTATTAATAATAATATATCATGCAATTGTAGATTAAACAATCTAGTATAGTGGAAAAGAAAGAAGAAAACAAGAAATAAAAACAATTTATAAATATACAATTCATAATTGTAATTTGAAGAACATTCTATATAAAATATGGTGTTAAGTTTTAATGGAAAAACTATCACATTAAGGATTTTTTGTCATTCCAGAAAAAATATTTTTTAACGCAAAAATATGAAATACCAAATTTTTATAACAATTTTTTTTGAGCAAATTAACATTATTCATTTAAATAAATGTTAATAATATTTTTTCTAGTTTATATTTTACTATAATTAAAATGACAACTAAAGATAATTTATGTGAGATATCACAGATATTAAGCAAATAATTAGGAACACTAATTCAGGGGAATTTTAATTGCTAAAACTATAAAATTTAATTGATTGTACACAACAGATTAAATATATGACATAAAAAGCATATTAATAAAACCAAAATAGATAATTCAAATTTTTTTTCATGCACTGGATGAAAAATTTGATATGAGACATGTATGATTTTTTATTTTTATTGTAAAAGTAGTTTAAAAATAATTTACTATAATTAAATAAAAAAAGTTAAACATTTTTTTTAATGTTTCTAATTTAATACATGTTTTATTCATTCAGTCCATGTTTAGAGAAAAATATTTTTGAAATAACAAACATATTATCATAATTTTTAATTTTTTTGAACAAGTGTTTTATTGAATACATCAATTAAAATTTTAAAGTAGATTCATATACATACTAAGTCACAATGATACAAAAAATTAAAAAATCATTTTGTTATAATTTTATTTTTTTTTGTTTTTTTTTTAGAATATGCTAAAGGTGTATTTTATTGTACAATACAAATAATCAAATATATGCTTTTAATTTAGTTCAAGAATGCAAAAATTATTAGATTTCTTATATCATTATGACTTACCTAAGTCTTAATATCAAGAGCAATTGTAATAATGTAATAATAAATGATTTTGATAAGAACAATTATCATATATTTAATAAATATATATATATATATATATATATATATATATATTTATTTATATTTTATTTAAAAATGAAATATAAACTAAAATATTCTTTAATTAAATCTAACCTATGTTCAATATTTTTTTTTAAATTTGAAACCTGAATTTGGCGTATCACAATTCTTAAAGACAATATTCTTAATTTATGAATATAACATTTAATCTGATATTTTCTTAATAGATATCTGTATTTTTATGGCACTTTTTAGGAAGACAACTTACTTTTCTTCTAAGATTACTTTGTTAAGAAATATCAGGAATAAGCATTTTGCTTAAAAACAATAACAAACCTAAACATGATGTAGTAGTCACACGACAGTTTCCTGATTTTATACTATTTTCACTATATTCATCTACTGTTATATTATTGTTCACGCGAATTGAAGTCAGAAGAGTTTGTGACACATCTGTAGGTGGCAATATTGTACCATAGAATACCATTTCCCAGTCAGTTAAAGTAGCTAAAAATTAAAAAAAAAAAATTGTATAAAAATTTTTTTTATTTTTTTTAACATGCATTAATATTATTCTAGCATCAATAAAAATACAAGTAATTAACCGTGTATTCCACAGCACTTTTAGTTAATTAACCTTATCAGATGAGAAGGTGGTAGCAATCATGAACAATAAAGAATTAAAATTAAAAATTAGTATTAATTACATGCCACAGCACTATATATCTTTCAAATCAAAAACTTACATAATAACTAAATACAAGTCTAAAATTATGAACTACTAATAGACAACTACAAATTTAAGCTGTATTATAAAAACGGAACAAATATATTAAATAATTAGTCATATAAATAAAAATTGCTATAATGAAGGTTTGCAATTTGGTTAATTTTGTTTAATATTAATATCTTTTATATTTTTTCTTTCTAATTCATTATAAGTTGGCTAAACTCTCCCTTTAGAAAACATTTGACTATACTATTTCTTATACTAGTTGTACTTGCTTTTAATAAATAATTTGATAGCTTTTAAATGTTTGTATTAAAAGCTATGATATAAACAACTTTTAGTATTAAATTGATAAGATGTGTAGTTAAATTTGCAATCATTTGTAAAAAATTATATTTAATAGTTATGATATTCTTTTGAAAAGGTAACATAAGTGATGTAAATTTTAGTTATTATACCTTTGATATTGAATTTGAGGTGTAAAATTGTTAAATAAAGATTAGTTACATATCAAATTTTTTTTAAGGGGAGGGGGGTTAAAATTTATTATGTCTTTCTAATAAATACTTTAAAAATAATATGTATGTTTAAGGGTTACAGCAATTGACGGTATTATTGATATTAAATATAATAATAAATAATTATAAAGTAGAATTCATAAAATCAGCGTTCTACAAAAAAAAAAAAATAATAATAATAACTACCAAGAATAAAACGCTTAGACAAAATTAAAGCATCTCCTTGCCTGTTGTTGAAGGTGATGTATTACTTTTGGGTGATAAATTTTTTTTCGCTGGTTTGGTATTCACATTATGTAAGCCATATAGTTTATGACTATTAGGGTATATTTGAATATTATCTGAGAGTGTTGGTGATAATTTAGAAGAATTTTGTATAGGAAAAAGAACAAAATGAACATTAGGTTTAAAACTAGATTCCTCATGTTTTACTAAAATATTTTTATTGCCTGCAGTTGTATTTTGACTAATAAGTTTTATTTTTTTAGAATTTTTTTGATTTCGTCGAGATGTTTGTTTTAGAATAGGCCCTATGGGATAATTTGATGTTGTAGTCCTTGGAGAAAATTTAGTACCATATAAGATCAAACACCATTCATGTAAAGAAGATCGACCTAAAGCATATTAATTTGTTAGTAATAAGGTTGTTAATTAAAAAGCTTCTTATATTCAGTAAATAATGAGTATTCCAAATTGATAACAAAATTTATAATGGTTATGCAATATAGTAGATTTTGATTTTTACTTACATATAAATAACATTTCGAGTTAATATTGTAGTTATTATATATATAAAAAAAAATTTTTTTAAAGCATAGGCTTACCTAGTAACTTTCCTTCATTATGTATAGTCAATTGCCATACACCAAATGGACGTTCTCCCCACATATGTACAGTCATAAAAGGCCAAACATGAAAACCAGCATGAGAATTATCATGAGTTCTTGGAGCAAGAAGTGTTGAACGGGTTCCACTAGGAGAAGTTAAATCTATTTTAATGTCCCCACGTCTATTAGCTGATAATGATATCTTGGCTTGAACATGCTCTAAAAAATTCACTCTATTGCACTCTTTAACCAACAGATGTATAGTCACAGAACTACGAGCAGGAACTGGTCTAAATAAAAAAAATTTAATTATGATGAAATTAATTTATAAACTTAACGTAATAATATGAAATTTATATTAACATACTTATCAAAAACTTGAGCAGTTATGTTACAAACATGTTGAGCTGGAACAGTTTTCCACCGGCGTGCCAATCTCACCATTGCAGTTGCATCCATTAATCCATATCCAAAAGAATGACTTACTATATGTATTGAAAGTTATATTATCACTTGAATAAACTAGAGTATTTTTTTGGACTAAATCCATAATATTAGTAAAAGAAAAAGGATAAAATTATTTGGTAATTAGTTTATTTGGGTATAGTATAATATTGTGTATTAAGTTAATTTCAGATTTGAGATTTTAATGTTTGTATTTAATATCCTCTCTTAAAAGTGATTGCCTTTACCAAAAAGAATGGGAAAACCTATTTAACTTAAGGCAACCAAATCAAATACTGGTACCTACACATTGAAAGACAATATATTAATGACTGAGTTAGGTAGACTGCCAATAGTTATAAAATATAATGAATATGATTGCAGTTATTTAACTATATAATAACATTACCTTTACGACCAACTCCATTTACAACCCAGTCTGAAGCCAATAAGTGTGTAGGTCTAGCAGTTAAAACCACAATATGTTGCATATCTCGCCATGTTAATTCATTGTTAGCCTCTAAAGCTAAAGCTACTATTCCAGCTGCCAATGGTGCTGAAGCAGATGTACCAGTATGGTTATTAGTACAATCATGATGAAGATCTGTGGTTATTATCTAAATTTAAAAATATATAAAAGTAATTGATAACAATGAAGTAATATCATCAACATAAACAACCATTTTACTTACTTGACTTTCAAAGTTACTTCCACTGCTATATGTTGTTGCTAAAGTAGAACTACAGGCTTCTGAATACCAAGGAACATGACCATTTTGAGTAGCACTACTAATACTTAATGTCCATATTGCATTTGTATAACCATCACAGTTACAATTGTCATGCTCTCGGCCACCATTTCCTGATGCCCATACAAAAATAGACCCTTTACCGCTACGACCTTTAGATATACCTTCTAAAAATGCTCGAGTAGCTAATTCTCCAGGTCCATCAACAGTTTTTCCATCATCATCTGGACCCCAAGAAGCACTATATATGTGAATATGTTGCGAGTTTAAACTCAAGGAACGAGCTTCAACTGCATCTGTAACATCACCATCCAACATTCGTACACCACCAATAGAGGCACCATAAGCCACACCAACAGAACACATGGAATTATTAGCTGTAGCAGCTACTTCACCAGCACATCTTGTGCCATGCCGATTTGTATCCATTTGATCATACCTAGGCATTGGATCTTCATCTTTGCTATTCATATCATAGCTAGCTAATGGATCCTGTAAATAATTCTTTTTTATATGCTTTCTAAAAGACATTGAGACTTCCTCCAAAAGAAAAATTTTTAAATTTTTTTAATTCCAGGACAGTTGGTAAGTCTGTCACTGGAGAGAGGAATAGCAACTCCAATTACTAAAGTCATGCTTAGTAAATGGAGTTACCACTAGTGACTAAGTCTTGAACCAGTAACAGTGCACGTCAGGCACTACTGCATTACAGACTCAGCCACACAGTTCTTCATTTTTATGTATAAATACAATGAATACATTATATCAATTTGTTATAAATAACTATAAATTATATTAACTAAAATAAATTTAAAAAACAAGTAAATGTATTAAATATTTGAATTAATTATTTTTAATTTAATAGCTTATTAAACAAGCTACTTTCATTTTACTTTAAAAAATATAATAAAATTTGAACAAAACAAATTTTTGAGGAACCAAAAAAATCTAAGGCGTATTTCTGTTAAATAACCTTTATCATATATTTAAATAAAATAAACTTACATAATTTTTTACTAAATCAGGATGATCTTTTTCTAATCCATCATCCAAAATTGTTACAACAGAGCCTTTACCAGTAATTCCTTCCTCCCAAGCACCTTGAACATTCATATCAATATCTCTACCACGATTCTATTATCAGAACATTTAATATACAGACTTGTTTAATAAAAGGATATAACAATAAGTACAAAAAATAACTAGCTTGGAGGATAAAATAATATTCCAGCAATTTATTGAATTAAAATATATCTATTAATAAAATGACATTATAATAAATATATAAAAAAAAATTAATAAAGTATAGTATGCTATATAATACAATTTAATAATTATATCAAAATTCCAGGTATTCTAATAAAATTTTACAACACTACAGAAATTCTTTGATTTAAAAATTTACATAATTTTCACTGCTCTTGAAATTTTTATCAATCCTAATTCTTCAGTTTAAACAATTTTATGTTATTCTAGAATTGTGATGAAAATACTTTAATTTATATTCTAGGAATATAGAAGGATATTATAGAAACAAGAAATGCTTAAACTTGAAAAAAAACCATGTTCTATTAGTTTTTTAGAAAGCCATTTAATGAAGATAAAAGGGCACTAAAAGAATCACTTATTATGATAGTATTTGAAGGTAAATCCAGACCTATTTGACTTTCATACAATGCATATGTCTTTGCAGTGTATATGGAAGAGTTGGATAATAAAATACATGCATGTGTGGTTATTGTATCATATTGCAATATGATTTGATAATATTGATCTTAAACTATTTGTTTTGGAGTAGTATACTTACAGTAATCAATAAGTTGGGTATTTATTATAGGTGTCCAAAGCAAAGAAGTTTAGGAGTTTAAGTATTTTTAAATGTTTTAGTAAAATATACCTTGTTTTTGTAGTAATTCATAAGTGTGTTATATATTCAGATACAAAAAAATAATAACTATATAGTTAATTATTTTTTACTTACTTAAAATAAAAACCTTAATGTAGTTTTTTTCATAAAAAAAAGCTAATATTTAAAATATAACTAAGGCAACCTTACTTATACTACAATGAATATTATGTTCGATAACAAATATTACATATTATTTGGAAGATCATGCATTTTAAATGGTTTTTTTACTTTTTACATTTAAATATATTTAATAATATGAAATTTTAATGTATTCTCAATATTTAAAAAATAATGATAATAAATTAAAAAAATAATTTTTTGAAAATGTTTCGGAAATACTGCGTCCTTTAAACATATATCAAATTAAAGCTTATTTTATGTACTATAAAATGAAAAAAAAATTTTTTTTTAATTTTACGCTTAGGTTAATAAAAAAACGTATAACCTTAAATTTTGCTGACATTTTTCCTTACAAGTTTCATTCTAAATATCTTTTGTTACCTTTAACACTTAAAAAGATACATACAAAAAGAATCTATATTTCTACCCCTTTTTGTCAATTTTTAACCCCTTTGAGGTATGTGAATAGATTGACATAGAACACTAAAATTTATTAAGAATATTATGAAAATTTTACCAGATAGATAATGTTTATATTATAAATATTGTGTTACATTTATTCTTCTCTGGTGAGGTTAAACCAATGTTTGATAATATTAATACAAAAAAGTTCAAACTTTCACAAACCATCAAAATTTTTTTAAAAATTTAACTACAAAATATGAAGAAAACATTTTGCTATAAAGTTATTTCTTGTAATCAACTCTATAAAATAACAATTTCGATTTTATTTACATTTTTTAGTTCTATACTTTGACAAGTTTTATGAAAAAAATGTAACAAAATACATTTACTGGATCAAAAGTTATGGGATTTGTCAGAACAGGCTGGAATACCTTGTATATGTAATTTGAAAATACAATATTTTTAACTTTGTTTTAACCATAGATTTATTATTTATATAACTACTAACCAAATACCACATTTTTGGCCATTTCGGATCATTTAATCCTCCTTTTATTGAATATCTTTTTGGGTTACCATTATCTCTATTAAATGCTATAAAATCTCTTTTTGATCTAATTAGTAGTTTTTGTTGTTTTGCCCATTTAACCTGTAAAAAACAAAATCAATAGATTGTTAATCATATTTTACAAAAATAGTACATGACTTAACTACTATTATGATGATTTTCTAATCACACATTTAGATAAATAAAAATAAACAATCTCATAGTTATCTAGTCATCAATTAGAAATTAAAAACATTTATAAAATCAAGGTCGCAAAGATTAATTGGACTATAAATACTTTTTTCTATCTTTTAATATTTTAATATAAGATTTTTTATAGTTTGAATCATTATATTAAAATTAGTACACTAAATTACAATAAACAAAATGAAAAATACTCAATTGTTGTTTATTTGCTCGTTTGCAGTATTAACCTGTCAGGTAATTACTTTACTTTGATATTTAAGGAAGTAAATTTTTCTATGTAAACATATAAAAAGAAAATCTCTAAAAATTTCATACATCTACTAAAACATTTTTTGAATATTTTTAATGACAAAAAAATCATAATATATTGTTTACATAAAATTTGGAACATTCATAATATAAATTATATTACAGTAGATAATATTTGATTATTAATAATTGAATTTGTCTTCCTTTATTTTTTCAAATTATTTTAAATCAATGAATTAAATTAATGTATAACACAGTAAAAAATATCATCTAAATAAGGTAATTCAGGATTTACATACTTATGTTCTCATAGTTCTTTATTTAACATGCTGTTTTATTTTTTGATATATGACTAAACAATATTGATTTTTTTATCATTTTTAATGTTTACATTAAACAAACAAAATATTTCTTGTAATTTTTTAATTACTGTCAAAGGTAATATCTTAAAGACATTGTTATATATTCTTTTAATTCTATCTTAAAAATTTCTCTTGAAATAATAATTGTATTAAGAAAATTATTTTATGGTTTATTTTAGTATCATATATTTCTTAATTTATCAGTTACTTTTTCAATTCATCCCTTATACCTTATAGAGATGTCAACTTTAATATTTTTATGGTAATATACATATTTAACTAGCTAATAAAATAAAAAATTATCTAATTAAGAAAATGACTGGTTGTTATCAACTTTTGGATCAGATTTCGAAAGTTATTAACGTTTTTATACCTAGGCAAAAGATGAGGTGCGCCCAATAAATACGATGATAATTATTGTCATACCAGCACTTCACTTACAGTCCATATTTTAAAACGACAATGATTACCAAAAATATGGGTCAACAATTTAAAAAAAAAATTCAAACTTACCTTTTTTTTAATATATTAGTTATACAATTATATATATTAAATAGAATTATATATATTAGTTCTTATTTTATTAGCTAGTAAAACATGTATGTTGCCATTTAAAAAATAAAGTTGACATTCATATAAAGTATAATGAATAAATTTAAAAAGTAAATAATAGCTGATAAATCGACTAATATATAAAAAACAATGCTAATTTTCTAAACATTATTATTATAATTTGAAGAGAAAATGAGTGACTAGTGATATAATAATCAACTTTATTTTAATAGGTGATTAAATTATATATATAAAATAAATATATATATATATACAGTTTATTGTTCCAAAAATTTGATATGAATGATTTTTCTTTTTTTTTGAGAATTTTTTCATTAATAATACATTTTGTTCAGAATTAATAGTTTCTGCCAAAATTTAATGATAAAAAAAAAAGATTAATGATTGTTTCAATTTATCTTTATCAAATTTCTTCTGTGAGATATTATATAGTATACAGAATAGCTATGAACTGAAATAATTTCAATTTTTTGAAATTTTTCTTATATCTAATAAATCAGTTCATCTATATCAAATATTTTTAATTTATTTATTTATGTTAAAAAACTATTACAGAAATAAAAAATATTACAATACCAATTTTGACCATAATTGAACTTAAAATTTAACATTAAAAAAGCTTTAAAAAATGAACTGATAAAATTTTTTTTTTTTAAATTTTAAATTTGAATAAGGTTTTAATGACAATTTCATAATTCTTTCAGTTTCTTCAATAATAACATAAATAAATAAATAAAAATAAATAAGTGTAACATAATTAAATAAAACTAAATGATAAAGGTCAACTAATTAATAGATACAATACAAAAATTTGAATAACCAAAATTATTTCGGTCACTAGATATGGTCTACAGAAAATTAAATATGATTTATTATTTTTTAATACAAACAATGGGTCAATTAACACTAGCTAATACATTGAACTAGTGTATTTAAAGTGAGAAAGGGTGAAATAAAGTGATTCTTGTTGCCTTTAACACTAGGAACATTTTTTTTTTTTTTTTTAAAATTATTAAAATTCCCAAATAGTCACCCATCGGAGAATTGACTATAACAGACACTGCTTGAAATCATAGGTCATTAATAACTTGAGTGTCTGCTAAATCACATTGACTAGGGACATGGTTCCTACAATAAATTTATATTAAAATTAAATTTAATGAGTATAACTCCAGGCACATCAATAAAGTAAATACATTCTGATTTCCAAGAAATACTAGGACAACTATTATTGTAATATTGTGGTTAAGTTATACAGTTTAACTTGTTTATTTAAAAGTAAAAAACATCAGGTTATCCAAGAAATATAATAAAACATAAAATAGGAATTCTAGTGACCAGAGAAAAAATTTGATGTTCCAACAATTTCGAGTAAACCAAGCTATATTGAAGGTTTGCAATAGTTAAGGGAATGATATTTTTTTTGGTAAATATATCACTAAAATTTTATAAATTGTTTATTTTTAGTGTTTTGCTAATGCTCAATCACAACAACTGAATAATGATCAAGTGTTTCAAATATTTGCTCAATATATAGAGTATATTTCATCAATATTAAGTTATTATGTCTTTCAAAACCAACAAAATACATCCTACTTTAACCAAAGTGAAAACCTTCATGAAATTTTAATGAGTTTTGATAATCATAAAATAAGTGAAGTTTCAAAAATTACAAATCAAACTTTAATAACCACAACACCAGAAATAAATTCTTCTAAAGAAAATTATGTACCATCACTCAAAAATATGCAGAAAAACAAATTATTATTACCAAGAACACCAATTATAAAACCACTAAAGCCACTAAAATCGAAACTTAGATATGCAGTTAAAAGTAAGGCTATATAATATAACTTAAGCATAAAAAATATTAATTATTTATAAGTATTCATTATGCAAAATAAGAATAACAAAAATGTATTTATTATATTTTCTTTGAAAAAAACCATATGTATAGAAAAAATAATTTAGGTATTTAGTTATAAGCAAAATATAAATGTTTTTAATTATAGTTTTATTGTAATTAATCAGATGAAAATATTATTCTTTAACTTAAATTTATATAACTTAAAATTTAACTAAAATTATACTTACATTTTGTTCAGAAATAAGTTTTTCATGATATTCAAGACCTGGGTTAGCTGATCGCTTTGATATGTGTCTGTGTTCTAAATGATAGTAATCTGGAAATATCTAAAATATAGTTAAATAATTTAATTAACTATACATTTTTATTTTTAAATGTAATAATAAATTTTTATTAAAAACTGGAATGAGCTATAAATGTGTTTGTTATTATTTATAATAAGTTGATATACATTTAATGTGCAGTTAAGTGTGTTGCAAAAATTAACATTATTTTTATTTGTATGTTTTAATGAATATTTAAAGTGTAGCATAACAACATGATTTAGTTTAAAGAAATTGCCTGTTGAAGCAATATTCGTTTTTAGAAGTTAAAATACCAGAAATGAGTTTTTCTACTAAAATTACCAAATCAAACCCTTTAAAAACACAATTTATTTGTGATAATACATTAATTTAATACTAATGTATTTTGAGAATTTAAGCACATACAGTCCTCATGCAAACTATGACTATACAGAAAACTAGCCATTTTTTACATCATTAAAATGTAATAGCTCATAAGTAATTTTTTGTAATTTATCTAATAATATTTTAGCTATGATGCATAGCTTAAAAGGTATTAATTTTATCATTATGTGCATTTATTTATTTATATTTTTTGTGTTAGTTATCACTACTATTATATATAGTGTATAATATACAGGGTGATTTTTTTATCATAACCCACTCAATTACTTACAGAATAATAATAATTTAAACATTTTTTTTTATTATTATCTTTAGTTACACATTATTCTTGAATTATTAACTATGAAATTCTTTTTAAGTTCATCCCTTATGCCTGGTAAGGGTGTCAACTTTGTTTTTTTAAATGGTAACTCATATTTTTAATTTAATAAAATGTTTGAGTTTTTAATTCAATAGTAAATGGCATTTGAATTTTTAATAAAACTTAATTTGTTTATTAGATATAAACATTTAAAGTTTAAAATTTTTGAGTTAATATATAGGTATAATACACAAGGGATTACAAATACAGGTAGCTAATTGGTTTTTTATGATATTGCTATCACAGTCACGAATTGTTTATTATCAATTATGACTATCAATAGATATACTTTTTGTATTGTCAGTTAGTGTATTTATAAACTCGCAACAATGTACCTTACTATCATTGATAATAACAATGCTGTGTACCTGCTAATATCGATGTCATAAAAAACCAATTAGCTACCTGTATTTGTAATCCCTTGTGTATTATACCTATATATTAACTCAAAAATTTTAAACTTTAAATGTTTATATCTAATAAACAAATTAAGTTTTATTAAAAATTCAAATGCCATTTACTATTGAATTAAAAACTCAAACATTTTATTAAATTAAAAATATGAGTTACCATTTAAAAAAACAAAGTTGACACCCTTACCAGGCATAAGGGATGAACTTAAAAAGTATTACATAGTTAATAATTCAAGAATAATGTGTAACTAAAGATAATAATAAAAAAAAATGTTTAAATTATTATTATTCTGTAAGTAATTGAGTGGGTTATGATAAAAAAATCACCCTGTATACTATAGCTTTTACTAAACAAAAATTATCAATAAATACATATTAAACAATATAATAAAACCAAATTATATCTATTTAAAGACATAAAATTTAAAGATTGAAAAATTCCTCTTTAAAATTTTTATAAATAAATATACCTCAAAATATTATAATTGTTGAAAATACTTTTTTTACCATAATTTACAATAATCTTTTGAGCAGATAAAGGATCAAATTTTCAATATATATTAAAAGGGAAATACTTAGGTATTTATGAAAAAAAAAGTTGTTTTGATTCATCTATTTATTAAAATATTTTGACAATTGTAAGAAGAAAAAAAACCCAGCACAGTGGGGTCATGGCATAGTTGGGTCCAGTATAGATGATATCTGACAGTGATTAAAATCACTATCATAAAAAACGCTTCGATGCAAATCTGTAGATAGTGTTTAATTAAAAAAAAAAAATTTGTCAATAAAGTAGGTTAAGTGAGAGCTGAAAAAATAAATGATAGCTACAAAAAAAAAACCACACAGTAAAATAATATTTATAATGAATTTCTTCTCAGGAGAGGAGACTACAGTAATAGGATCCTTGATATTTATTGAAGTTATTGAATTTAAATGAGATAAAAATCAAACGAGTTAAACATTTTTTTCTAACTCAAAAAGAATCAGATTTATATAATATTTATGAAAATCAGTGTAAACCCCTTATAATAAAATAAAATACAAAACCAAGAATTTTAACACAAAAATAGCATATTTTTGAATACGGTAGCTACTTTCACCATTAAGACAAAATAAAGTCCAACATTTTTTTTTTAATATTAAAGTATTTTACATAGGCTTTAATTTAAGATATATATATATAAGTGTCAGTTTTTCCGGAACACTTTCAAAAATTAAGTTGAAAAAGTTCTACTTTCTATATGAATTTTTATGTTTTGAACCCCCCATGTATTAAAGGAAATGGTCCAATTTAAAAAAAAAGTATGTCGAATTAAAGAAGTATATAAATATTATTTCTTATAAAAAAATTGTATTGATTCATACATTTTTCAAAAAGTTATAACATTTTAAAGTTAAAAATATAAAATATAAAATCGAGAATTTTAACACAAAAATATCATACGGTAGCTATTTTCATTGTGAAGACAAAATAAAGTCAGAAATTTTATTTTTTCATAATAAAGTATATTACATTAGCTTTAATTTAAGATATATATAAAAATGTCAGTATTTCTGGAACACTTTCAAAAGTTAAGTTGAAGAAGTTAATTTTTGTGAAAAAGTTGTCATTTTGAATCCCCCCCTATGGGCTGGTAAATGGTTAAATTTATAAAAAAAAATATACCAAATGATAGGTAGACATCAAGCATCTATAAAAAAAAAAAATTATATTAATTTGTTCATTTTTGAAAAAGTTATGTCAATTTAAAGTAAAAAATTTTTCGATAATTAGCGATTTTTAAATTTGTAATTTTTTTGGAAATTTCCCCCATTTACGGGAAACGAGGGAAATTTTTTCAATTTTTGAGGGTAATGTCTTCGACTAGATATGATTTGTGATCTTTTGACGTATCATTGAAAGAAATCGGTTCGGTGAGAGCTGAGAAAAAGTGGTAACAGACACAAAAAAAAACATTGTAAAATTAATACTTTCTCAGCTTCGCATAGAAGCTAAAATGTTTAAAAATAGTTGAAATTCACTAATTTAAAAATTATTGTTTTTCAGGAAATTTTCTCCATTTGTGGGGGTTGTATTGTTGAAATAAATTGGTTCAGTGAGAACTGAAAAAAGTGGTAACAGGCACAAAAATTTAAAAAATATTTCATAGTAAAATGAATACTTTCTCAGCTTTACATAAGCTAAAGTTAGAAAAAATGGAATAATGAAGTGTTTTTCAATAAAAACATACAGTACTTCATTTAATAAAATATTGAAATACCAGAAAAATATGCATTGTTAAAAGTTAAATTTCATTTGTTTATAAAATTCTAGAAAAAAAATTACCAATTAAATATTAGTTTTTTGAATAAAGGAATGAAACACTTTACATTTTTAGTACTGTTTATACATTTTTTTTAATATTCAGGATAACAATGATAAATATCAACGGCGAGTTGAGATGGGTTCAACAATTATAACAACAATAGGGAATTCGGTTATTTTGCAACTACCAAGAGGAAACTTGGAAACAATCAGACCAAGACCATTAACAGCTTATTAAGTTAGTAAACTAGTAATTTTTGATGGATTTTCTTCATCATATACAAGAAATGAGAAAATAACTTCAAATTTTTAAAAGTAAAATCATCAAGTAGATACAATTTGTGATTTTTTGACATATCATTTAAAATAAATAAATCCAGTGAGAGCTAAAAAGTGATGATAGGAACGAAAAATAACATCATAGTATAATTATCACTTTCACAGCTTTACATTGAAGATAATACTTAATCCTGATTTAAGATAAAGATAATACTTAAAGGGTACTTTAATCCTGAAGAGATAAAAAAAATAATTTAATTTTATATAATTGTGTATTTTTTAATTAAATAATTTTTCTCTTTACTAAAATTTCTTATAGTTTCTGAGAAAATGAGTGCCTTGGCGAAAATCAATCACTTTATGTATTACATAACATTTTATAACTGAATAAATACATATATTATAAGTTCATGGGTATTTAATCTATAATAAAACTTATAAAATAAAGAAATAATATTTGGCCAGACAAATAAAATTAATTATTAGTAAAAAAACACTGGACAGATGGAAATACATTAATTTTTAAATATAAAGATTATATAGAAAATTATCTTATTATTATAAAAAAATATAAAATGTTCCAAAAAATTGTATTTTTATTCATCAATATGACAAGCTGTACACCAATAAAAATGCATTTTAAATACTATTATCATACATGGTAATAATAATTACATATAATTTATATATATGTATATATATATATGTATTAATAAACATTTTATTTATTTTTTCCAGTAATTCTTTTATGGCTCTTTGAGTTAAATATTTTTAATATTTTTTTAGTTTTAAATTAATATTCAAGTGATCAAATTGTACAATACAATGAAGCTAAATTTTTTTTATAATTACTGTAAAACTTACCTCTCCAATAATATGAAATCCATGTTTTTCTGATATTTGTTTGGCTAATTTTAAACCTCCTTCGATATGAACTGCCCATTGAGAAGTATAATCTTGACCCAAAGTCAACTTTATTGAGACCAAAGTCCAAAATAATAATAGTACCGAGCAGGCAACCATAATGCTTGCCTAGCCACGGCCAAGTTTTGAAAGACTCAATGTTCAACATTAGTTACATGACAGTTAAAATATACATTTATAAGTCTTCTTTTATAGTACTTCATTAAGCTAAAATAGTAAAAATCAGACTAAATATATATTAATAGTAAGTAAAAATTAGAACATAAAAAAACTAATCAAGTACAAATTTCAATAAAATTACAAATTGTGTTGGTAGAGTTTAGAAAAATGAATATTACATTTTTAAGTCTTATTTTAACAAAATAAAATAATTTCTATTTCTGCTTCAAAATCAGAAAATATAACAAGTATTTAAAACTTTTGAAAAAATAATCTTCAATAATTGAATTAAAGCTTGATATTAGGCATTAGCATTATAAACAATTTTGACATTTGCATTTGATAAATCATGAAAAATGAATTAATTTTTTTTTGTAATTCTAGTAGCTTTTAAGGTAATTATAACTTTTTGATATTTTTAAAATGATTCAATAGTAGTTCAAACATAAAATTATCTTCTAGCTTACTTTTAAATTTATTAAGAAACTAATGGCTTTTATTAACATGTTACAGTTGAAATAGAATCAATTTAAGAGATTTATTAGAGAAGTTAACCCAAAATGAAGATATTTTTTGATTTCCGGTTGATTTTTTTACTAGAATATTTAATTAAATTATATAAATCAACTTTTTAAATTATGACATTTTTTAAGAAGGCTAATTTATTGTAAGTCTGAATTTTTATAATTTTATTAAGCTTCAAAGTTAGACGAATTCTGTTGAGTTAATATAAGACTATTTTGATAAAAACTTTTAGACTATTTTGGTGTAGTAATCGTACAAATTAAAGCTATTAAGTATGATAGATTACCTTAGTCTTAGAAAAAAAAACATCAACGTTACGATGCAAAGTCAAATAAAAAGTATGATTAAAGACATTCACTATAAGAAATTATGCTAACGAAAAGTTAAACGTAATTTATTAACCATCACTAAAATATTATTGAAGTGCGTTTTCTTATTATTACATGCTCATAGTTCATGGCCTCTGGCAGTGATATCAATACAAACTAACATTTTTGCGCGTGCGGAATGAAGGCCAATTAACTGATAAGATGTTGATCACTAGTAAACGTAATCTTAAATTGATTTAAGTGCAACATCTTTAAATAATACAATGGACCAAGGTATATGTATAAGATAGACAGACTTTAGTCTTTCGATAAATTAAGAAATTTAATAACTAGAGAGCGCTTCACTCTTTTAATTAATTTTTTTTTTTAATATTTATGATAGAAATATAATTAATAGATTATAAGTAGTGATGGGCATAATCGAATGATTTCGATAATCGAATGATTAGTAATCGAGACATTTTCATAATCGAGTGAATCTCTCGAAAAATCACTCGAAGTTAAAATCGTCTGCTCGTATGATAAGAATAATCAACTATTATTATTTATCGAGAGAATCGAAAAATTATTCGAAATATGAATAAATATACCTATAGTAAATAATTATTAATTTAATTTTGCTTTTTTTATTTGTTTGTGTTTATTTATAATTATTATATTAAACTACAATTTAGGAATAATAATAACAATAATATATTAATAATGCATTATTAATAAGTGCTTTAAATAAAAGACAAGTTGTTATTTTTTTTATTTAATAATTATTACCTATATTTTAAAAAAACCGACAACAAATTAAAAATAAAAACATAAGATAAGGTAGCAATAGCCGGCTTGACCATCATAATTAAAACACCTAATTGATTTTTCATAAATTCACAACTAGTGAAAGAATCAGAACTCAGTAGTTTAGCCAGTTCAGGACAAAACTTTATTCTAATCGTCACATACTTCCCAAAAATGTGACAGATAAGATGTTGCCATGAGTAGCGATTGAACGAGTTGAAAATAAGAAGTCTCGAAGTCAACAATTTAATAATAATTTGACTATAATTTATGCTAAATAAAAACTTGAAAATAGTATTCTCTCGTTTCATCGTTTGGACATCATTCGAAATAACTTTTATTCGATTATATACATTTCAAGATCAAGAAATCATTGTTTTTATAATAAACGAGAAATCATTAGAAATAATCACTCGATTATAGAATAATCAATATTATTTAAAAAATCAGAATATCTCGATTATATAATAGATATGATTTCAATAATCNTATAAAAAATATAAAAAGAATATCTCGATTATATATCTCAATTATGCCCATCACTAATTATAAGGATGTTTTTTTATAATTGGTAATTTTTTTTATTTCATTTCATATAAAATTAACAAATTTTTTTTTTAATGTTTGACCTTGAGTGTATAATTTTTGTTCAAATTATTTTTTCCGTTATTTTAGATTTAGGGAACAAGGTCCCGGGTTCGATCCACAGAATGCCAACGAGATGTTTCCTGTAATTTTCTCATTGGTGGTGTCTGACCTTTAGTATATACCAGTCATATTACCCGTCCCGTTCATCTTTGGCCAAGCCAAGAACCATCTTTGACTCCCTAACATTTGAAAAATGGCCACCATCCTCTGTAGCATGTTCGGGAAATAGAAAGATGTAAAACTGATAAATTATTTATCACATCATTTTTTTAACTTTTTTAAATTTTGATAGTTTATTTTTAAATTAATTGTGATCACTATAATTTAATTCATTAGATATTTGATAGGGAGAATTTAATCCTCCTAAAAATATAAAAATAATTGAATGTAATTTAAAAATAAAACTATTTGCATATACAGAGGGATATTTGGTGTGTTCTGTATAACGGTCGATATATACCTGTTGGGTTGGGTCGGAATGTTATGCAAAAGAAGGTAACACTTGATGATTTTCATTCCCCAAGCGGAAATTCTTAGATGTATCCTGTTTTGAACGCAATTCTAAGTATAATCCTAGCGCCAAGATATATTAATGTTAATGATTCATTAACAGTAAAATACTCTTTAATAATGAGTATATTTTACATGGTTTTAAGAACAAATTGTTTGTTGATTTTTAAAGTGTTAAAATTTTTTAATTGTGTCAAGATTTTAGAATTATATAAATTCATGAAATTGTATTAAAAAAAAATTCCTGTTAAATATATAAAATATATTCATTTCGAATTACTTGCAAAAAGCAATTATGTAATATTAATAATAAAAATAAATCGATTTTGTGATTTATACAACAAAAAAATGTTTTGATTTTTTCAAAATCGTAAACTAATCAAAATATTATTTTTAATATGGCATATTAATACTTATTGATTATACCTTATTCGATAATAATATATCGTGTTAGGTTGTTCGGAAGTGTTTTGGTGCTAATTTGGGCTATTCAATTATTAGAATGATTGAATAGTTTACAATGGTATCTAAAGAAGAATAGTGTTGCAGATTCACTTACAGTTTCAATATTTAGTTCATTGTGAAATTGATTATTAGTTACGGACCACGAAGCCCTAGTAATAATGCGGAGACATATTGATTAAAATGCTTGTATGATTTTTGTATTTGATGGTTTTACCGATTCTCAAAATAGAATACCGCAAGACCACATTGATTGTAGCAAACTCTTATATAATATGAGCCGGTTTGATATGTGAAGATTAGAGAAAAGTGCATATGTGCAGTCGATTATTCAGCTGTTTCCGTTAAGATTAATATGAGAATTCAACGTCAGTATACAGTCGAAAATTAAACCAAGGTATTTCACTTCTTTTTAATGAGGAATTCAGTGATTTCAGGACGGTTTAGAGGTCGTAAGGAGAATATATAATGATTAGATTTAGTCATGTTAACTTTGATTTTCAAGTTTTTAAACCATTTTGAAAGAATATCTAAATGGGATTGGACATATTGGCTTGCCAGTGCTGGTTCATACTGAACCAGCACTGGCAAGCAGTTCAGTATCAACTGTTCTGAACAGTATTTTTTTTTGAGTGACTCAGTGATATAGTCAAAAATTCTATGAAGTTAATAGGAAGTGGAGTGTCTTGGTCAAACTGAAAGTTGGGCAGTGGGTTGAGTTCATTTATTAGTGGCAATATTCTTTTAAGGATTTTTCTGAGAGCTGGCTGCAAGCTTATAGGTTTGTATGAAGCAGGGTTGTCAGGAGGTCTGTCTGGCTTTAGAATAGTAACTATAACTGCGGATTTCCATGCTTCAGGAAAATAAGAGGTGGAGAGAAGCATCGTAAACATAAGAAAGTAAAATTATTGTTTTTTAGAAGTTTGTTGTTTATTTTGTTATGACCGGAGAGCTATTATTTTTATGAGAATTTCTTTAGGTGAGGTATGTTTGAACGGGAGGTCTATTGGAAGTGGAGATTGGATAACTTGTGTTAAGTTTATCAAGCGGTTAGATTCTGGTGCAATTTCATGAGGTTTAAAAATGCTGGTTAGATGTAAGGCTAGTAGGTTGACATTTTCCTGATTTGTGAGGTCATAGGCATTATTTGGAAGTTTAAGAGGAGTTACATTAAATTTGTGTCTTAGTAGTGATTTCGTTTCCTTCATTATAAACCATCCGTCTTAGAGAGAGATTGCAGATTCAGGTTGTATTGCTCAATTTTTTCTTTTTATGAAAATACTGAGCTTATTTGAAAAAAAGTTGTAATTTTGTTTGTCTGCGGGATAATTTATAAAAATATTTTAGAGCCTATCAGTTTAGTCTGGTACTGTACACGACATATTATGTTGACGTCTCTAAATAAGGGTTCTTAGTATAGTATTGAAATAAATTTCATTAGAAAAATAATTACAAAGAATTAAAATCTTAAAAACCTATAATTAATTCATAAAATGTAATGAATACGACGTATAACAATTGCTATTTAATAAATTATGTACATTCATTTAATGATTAAATAGTGTTCAGTAAGGAAACAGATTTTTAGTGTTTTCATTGTTTGTAACAATTGACCTGTTTCCTTAATTTTTTAACACCTATATAAAAAATTTTAAATATCAAATATAATAATTATATTTGATATTTAAAATTTTTAATTATTAAACCAATAGGAGCACTTGAAATTTACACTATTTATCAGTATAATTACTTGCATCCAAGGTATCGTTTCCCTGTGTGTATTCATGATAAAAATGTGTAAAGAATGGCCTAATTATGTGTATTTAATCTGTGATAAAGATATCAATGTTACTTTTTTAATTGCAACATACATAACTTACAAAAGCATACGATATATATTAAATTATCCCACTGTATTTTTAAGTGTATAGGATTTTTGGAAATTTGAAGAAGCTAAGCTCTCTAAAAACCCCCCATAAATGAACAAATACTTGTCAAGCTCAATATCTGTTTTATAAAAAATGTTGAATAATTTTTGTTTTTTATAACAATGAATATTTAATTTTTTTATAACTATTATATTAAAATAGTTCCCTCAATATCCAAAGATAAAAAATAAACAATACACGTGAAAAAACAATATTATTCTGTATTATAAAACCACTTATGATTATGTTATACATGATAGTTATTAAGAATAAATTGATCAAATATATCTTATAATTTTAAAATAAAAATGAACTATTATGAAAAAGTAGAACTTGTTTGAAACATAACATTTTTATTAAAATAATTTACAATATATTAGTAATAATCAAAATGTTTGATTATTTATCTATAATATGTATCTGATCTAAAATAGATAATTTCCAGCCTTGATCAAGTATTATTTTCAAAGGACATAATAATATTGTATCTAAAACATAAAAAAGAATTTTACATAATAAATTACTTAAAATATTCAAAAATATATTAGATTTTTACCTTCAACTACTTGTTCTGATTCAGCCTAAAAAAATCAACGATTAATTAAACAATAAGAAAAATAATGAGAATATATAATCAAACTTCTTTTTTTTATTTATTTAAATTTTATACAGTATTTTTAACTTGATTATGTAAATAAAAAGAAATGATTCATTATAATGCTAATAACTAATACAGTACTTACAGCATCATATTTTAAAATGGGTTTAAAATCATTTTATTAAAAACACAAGATTAATTGCATAATCAAGAAACACAAAAAATGTTTTATATTAAATTATTGCAATAATTTCTTTGTTCTATCCATATTTTTCAATGAAAGAAATTTTTAGATATTTAACTATGAACAATGAAATAATGGTGAGTATAAGAGGTTCCCCTGGTTTCATGCTTTTATAAAAATATTACTGTAAAAAAATATAGAACTAAAAAATATAGTGGTTAATATATGCTAATATTTCCACACACTTTTAATTTGTACAAAATATTAATTACTTACAAGTACTGGCCAAATAATAGATTTATTATTATAAATGCAAGTTATAAATGAGTTTAAAGTTTTTTGAAGTTTTTGTCCAACATCATGTTCATCTAATCTTAATAGCAAAAAACTCATGTTTTTAACATCACCTGTAAACATTTTTTTTATTAACATATTAATTATAGGATAAGAGTTAATTATTAGATATAAAAAAATTACTTTTATAATTTTCCGATTTTTCAACAATTTGTTTCAATGTAAGAACTAAAGTTGGCTGTTCTCTAAAATTACCTTCTTTTAAATTCCACATTTTACGTTGTTGTTTTCTAGCACTTCTACAGCTTGTTCGTGTACTATATAATATAAAATAATATTGAAAAAATTTACTGTCAAAATAAAGAAGAATTTAAGCATTTTATTTTTAAAAGTTCAGTTGTTGATACCTTTTTTTCTTGATAACATTACTAAAAAAATTAGTTAAATGTATTTTAAAATTTGTTTGTATTTAAGAATATACATCCAAAAAGCTACTGTTTGATCCTTTTTGTCAATTTTATAACTTTTTTGAAGCATAAGACAGGACTAACTTCGAATTTTTAAAATTAATCTAACATTTCTATGTTATGTATTGTAGTGTAAAACAAAACACACAGAACAGAAAATATGATTTTTAAAGTTTGAATAATAAGGACCACCATAATATTTAGGTTATGTTAGATATCTATGTCACACTACAGAATTGAAAATCTCAGAGTATTCTAAAAATAGACTATTGAAACTCATCTTCAAATTAAAAAAATTAAGTTATTTAGTTTTTCAGTAAAAATAAAGTTAAGGGAGTTATGGTAATTTTGATACAAAATCTAATAACCTCTTTTTTAACACGCTTATATTAGTTTCACGTGTATGTTTGTTGTTTGTTGTTTGTTTGTCGTTTGTAAGTTTGTAACTCCACGCGGCACGTGTTATTATGTCGCGTATCCCGTCGTGTATGACCTTGAGACTAGACTGTCGTAACGCATTCGCCCCACCCCGCTCACCATTCGTAGACAACAATATTTTCCAACCCGTAGACGCGCGCTTATCATCAATTATATATATATATATAACAAATTTTTATTGTAATTGACACAGCCCGCGTCGTTTTACGCCGCGGTGCAGAGTCCAGCAAGTGCCGCACGGCCGACGACGTCCCGCCGTTAATGATACCGTAGTCTTCTTCTCGTTGTCAAAGTGACGTCAACAAACCGATCCGCACTCGCGCACTGTTGTCATCTACGCTGCTAACCTTTTGACGCCCGAGGATTACGCCGGACATCGCGTCGTCGACGCCAGCAAAAGTGTCGCGATATTATGCGAAGATCATTATATTCCTACCGTCACCGCTAATATTAATATATATATATATATTAATATTTATACGTATATACGTATATGTTAATATTCATTTATATATTCCTACAGCCGACGCCTCTGCTGCCGTATATGCCTCGTGTATAATGTTCCCTCCGCCATGCCCGCCCACATAAACACGGCTATACCTCATGCATGATACGTTTACGTACTTAAGTCCCTTTA